CCACGTTCAAGGTGTGCCCATCGTGATCTGTCGATTGCTTGCTATGCTAAAGGCCGGGAAATTGGGGACCATGTACTTGTTTTTTGATAAAACGCAGTTTTTTTTTTGTTTTTTTTTTGTATGTGAAACGTTTTTTGTTATGTGTTCGGCAGTTCGTAAACCCCAAAAGTGAAGCCTGGATAAAAGCGTGCCCGCGAGGCTCGACACTGATTGGTTTTGAGGCGGAGGGGGGAGGGGGGGGGGGGAGAGGCCATCGCAGTAAAAAAGCTTTTGCGTCAGGCAGAAACGTGGTTTATAGTTCAAATTATGGTGTCTGAATCTCGTCCCCGACTGGTGTGTTTCCCGCGTGTCACTACACTTTTTTTTTCTTTTATTACCGTGAGTTAATGTGTTTGCTATTTGGCGGGAAAGCCCTCCGGGGCATCCGCTCTGCGTTCGACCGGCAGGTAGCAACTTAGCACCTTGTCACACGTTTTTAAAACCCGGGATAGCCCCGATCACCATTCCAGGGATTGCTATCGCCTGTCCATGCCACGCGTTAAGCCAGTCGCTAAACTAACCAATGATGAGTGCCGATAGCGTTATGCCACACGTTTAGCGCGCTGCACCATTGCCCACCGATTTGCTTGTGCATTTTTTTTTTGTACGATCTCTTTTTGCTCGGTTATATGGTATTTAGAAATAGTGAAAATGCCGGACGTTGCAGTGTAAACAGCAAGGAGTTTGCGACTGAGTGTGCTCTGTGTTTGTCAATTTCGCGAGAAGAAAGATGAAGTTTGCCATGGTTCCCTTGTGAAACTGATAGATCTGCTCCCACGGCAATATCGAAGGCCTCCGTGGCCATATATGTCGGTGCTCCCGCTTTGGGATGATAATGTAAAGGCCAAACCACATAGGGCGTATTTTGGACGTATTTACGGGCGTTTTGGTGGACGTAATCTTGATATAGAGCGGCCGCCGGGACGAGCAATTCCTTGACGCCTCAAGGTTGGCGCAAGTACGCGGGTATTCGGCGACCCGACCCAGACAGATCTCGGCGCTCCGGCGTATTTCGGCGTGGCGTATCCGGAAGCGTACGGCGCGGTGCCGGCCAATCAGCTCGCGAGTTAACAGCCGGAAGTTGCTCGAGGATTGGCTTGCCTAGCTTTGCGGCCTGCTGGCTGGCTTGATTCAGCCGCCGAAATGGGCGCTCGCTTGTCGCGTTCGCCTCTTTATCGGCGAACTGTACGAAATCGCTATATCTCTTTGGAACGAGCGATGAACGATTGAAAGAAAAATACAATCTATGTGACAGGTGATATGAAAGAAAAAAAATATAAAGGGAAGATTTTTCAGCAAAGATGGTGGCCGTCCTTCTGCCGGCACTTGTTAGCAACCTGGTGACTGCAAGGTAGTACATTGATAACATTCAGTTGTTTCTGTCCCCCTGCGGAAGGTGATAATATAGCAGCCGATTTAGATTTTGCCTCGTTTCATGGAAAGCGCGAGTTCGCCCGACTCGCGCTTTTCTGCACCAAACGGCGAGGAGACGCCGACGAAAAGAACCGTGTGTGGTTTGGCGACCTTCCCCTCTTCCCTTGTGTGAAAAAAGCGCCCGCCAAATGCCGTGATTATACGATCGCTGAAACGCGCGTAAATTTGTCGAGAATACGCCCTATGCGGGTCAGCCTTAAGGTGGCGTCTGCTATGTGTTGTTTCATGTCGCAGAAGGCTTAGCTTGCAGCCTCTCCCCACTGCCTCTGCGACATACGAACCCGGATAAAAAAGAAGTGCATGTGAACTTTCGACTACTTTTGCAGCAATTAGACGCGTCTTTAAATGGATTTTGAACCGAAATTCAGAGCCTACAAAACAAGGCTGGATGGATAGGCTGCAAAACCCAAAAACATCACTCATACAGCGATATCTCTAATGGATCGCCGTATTTTCGAAAAAGAAGTGCACGATTGAACAGAGCCGACGAGGCCGACGAGACAAGTCACGTCACGATTCTCATTCCCTCTCCTCCTCGCTACGTCCCGTCGAGCTGGTGAACCGAAGCAAAGAGGGGAGAAGCGAGGCCGCTTCCCTCATTCTCAAATTTTACAGCAGGACAATAACGTCGTAGACCTCGCGTGATTGCGCCCTTCTTTTCCAAAAGTACGGCCATCCGTTTGAGATACCGATATATGAGTGATGCTTTAGAGTTCGTAGCGTCCAATTTAACGCTTTTGCGGCCTTATAGTTGCGAAATCCAAATTTCTGTTCAGTATCCCTTTAAAGCCCGTGAGCCTGCTCCAAACGGTTCATACTTGAAAGATACTTGCTTAATAATCAAAACTGTTTTTGGACGCGGGAAACACACCAGTCGGGGCCGAGATTCCGACACCGTAATTTGAACTATGAAACGTGTTGTTTCCGCTGGCGCAAGCGCTTTTTTACTGCGATGGCCTCCCCCCCCCCCCCCTTCCCCCCACACACACACACACGCACACTCAAAACCAATCAGTGTCAAGCCTCGCGGCCACGCTTTTATCCAGGCTTCACTTTTGGGGCTTACGAAATGTCGAACACATAACCAAAGAACGTTTCACATGAAAAAAACAACGTCCCAGCAAAAAATACACATGTTCCACAATTCCCCGGCTTTTTGCATAGCAAGCAATCGACAGATCACGACTTTCACACCTTGACCGGGGGGTTCCACCGTGCATTTCGAAAAGACCGATTTTAAAGTGATTCAAAACGAAAAAAAAAAAAAAAACTTTAGATGGTCGAAGTTAGTGATGCTCAGTGGCTGGCGTGTGCCAGGTGCCCGTAGTTAGTTTTGGCAAGTGAACACTAAGATATACTTATCTTGCATTTCATTATGTCATTCATTCATTAAAGTTAACTTGCTTGGTCATTTTAAAATGGAAGAAAAAATTAAAAAAGAAACGCTTTTTGTCGATTTATACTTTAAGAAAAAGACCTCCCAAACTACCCTAAAAAAATTGTAGATCTGAATATATTTTTTTTATCATTCACCGCAAAGAACGCATTGGGGAAATATTTTAAACGAGGAAATCGAGTGACATATAGCCACATTCTTTGTTATAATAATAGGCAGGCAGAAGTGACTGATTGAAATCACAGGAAACGAGAATGAAAAGGTACGAGTCAGGTTTCGGTTTTATATACTTTTATACAATTTTTTGCATGTACAGCTATAGCATTACACATAGTACCCCGACTAGACTCGTGTCCTTGGTTGCTTTGTTCACAGAAGATAATGACCTCCGTTGCCGTGTACACGTGATAAAAATGCGTGAAGAAACAAAGGAAAAACAAAAGCACATGGCGCGCCACTAACACACTGCTTGTTGAAGTTAGATGGGCCATGAAGGAAGTCAACCGCTGTGTTCAGAAACAAGAGCTGAAAGCAAATGTTCAAACGAATACCAAAGTCTGTTCCAGGACTGCAAACAGTCCTGGCAGCCGACTGACCCGAAGATATGAACCAGGCACGTAGCCAGGATTTTTTTTCGGGGAGGGGGGCCCCATGGGCCACCCCCCTGGCTACGTGCCTGATATGAACTAACTCGTGTAGTTTGTACTGGACCATCCGCACACTTGTTTTCGTAGACCGTTTTTGAAGACCGGGCCGATTCATTGTTAACAATACTGGTGAGACAAAGGTCACAATCGGGAATTATTGAGTGGATGTCTCAGTGCTCGCATTGTTACTGAAATTGTTCATTATACGTATAAAGTACGCGAGCAACCTTTATTTTTTTTTCTCTATTATATGTGCGAAGGCGATTCCCTAGCTCTATTGGTTATAGCAAACTCGGCTCAATGGCAAAACCGTAATCACAAATCAGACAGGCAGCGTGACTCGCAACAAAAATGCAGGCAGGCGCGACAGATCTGTTCAACGGACAAGCCCAAACATAGCACACAAAATAACCCTCCAACTCGTGTAAAAAAAAAAAAAAAAAAAAAACAAGGGAGGGGGAAAAAAGAGTGCATTCATTTTTGTAGTACCGTTTCAAAGGTACGCGAGGCCAAGCGTGACAAAGAAATATTAACAATATCTACAAGAAACAACGGCAACAACAAACTCAAAACTTTCGATTATGTCGATACACTGTAAATGCACGGAGAAGGAATGATCACTTGGATAGAGTGCGACACGCACACACATGTGGGCGTGCAATATCACTCTCGAATGTAACACAGACAACCCGCGACGTTGGATATAAATACACTATGGTACATGCATATAACTTCGTGCAGCTTGCTAAGCGTTGTAGATGGCGCGAGGTGTCAGTCGCGGGCGGCGCTTCGGGAAGGGGGCCAGAATGGTAAGGTGGCCAGAATGGGCGCTTCGGGAAGGTGGCTTTGGGAAGTGCGGACCCGAGCACAGCGGAGAGCGAACGAGATGGGCACCAGTGCATGTTCCATCTTCAAGTAGCGGAACTCGGGAACGCGGTTCGTCTCCGCCCCGAAATAAGGCCCTTTCTTTGAAACGTCACACGCTTACTAACGTGGTAGAACCAGACTATATTAAAAACAAAAAAAAAGAATCACTCAATTGATTACCTTTTGCAGCTCGGATAGTTTTGAAGAACAAATTAAAACTTAACCCAGAAAAAACATATTTCCGATTATACAAAATATAAGCGTTGCAAACGATGTCGGGTGATATGCCAACCTCCGTTCCTGGTTAGTCTACTGATTGTAAGCAATACGGTATCGGTGTTCGTGAAGAACCCGGAGGCCTGTGCTCGGACGTTGAACCAACATTTCATTCCCCTCGTGTAATTTCACGGTAAATTGCGAATACGCTCAAACCGCAGTAAAACGAAGAAACAAATGTATCTGCTCGGTTTGTTTCCGTAGCGGCTCCTTGCACTTTGTTTTTTTGTTCGTGTTACCACTAATACCGGAGTGAGCGAGGCGCCACGTAAGGAAGTTTGGTGGCATCGGACAGATGACAGTCAAGTGAAGCGTATTGCGGCGCCGATGGCTGTGTTGGCCCTTCCTCGGGACGGGACGGCCTCGAGACAGTCGTGGTCTCGAAATCCGTCCAGCGGCAGTTTCCTCGCTCGTTTCCGAAAGGCCGGACGCTTCTTTGGGTGGGGCTGATCTTCGGTGGGCGGCGTGTCTCTCAGTTGCTCGCCGATCCTCCTCGGTCGGGACTGAGTTCCTGGTGCTTTCTTCTCGCCTGAATCGGAAAGACAAGAAGAGCAAAGGAAAGGTAAGATTAAAGCTGGACTACACGACCTGAGACCACCATTCTGAAATCCATATTTCACTTGAAAGCACGAAACAAAGGCGTTCTCTTTTTTAAGAATCGCAGGAGGTATATACGCTTACACCGAACACGTTTTTTGGGCGATTGTTTGATGTGTGTTGTTAATTTCATCTCTCCCCTCCCTTCCTCTCTCCCAAATTCTGTCCCTCTCTCTCTTTCTCTCGCAGTTATCCGCCGTTATGGAAGGTGTTCGAAGCTGAGCAGTGTTTGGAAACCCAGGTGTTGCTTTGTCGCGTCGATCGACAAAAAGGTGACGAGCGGACAAGGACGGTAAAGCGTCACCCACCCTCTTTCGGCTAGCGATACTGGAACCCTTAATGCGATTTGTTCGAAACCGCGACCACCATCCCCGGAACGAACGCGCTTAAACGCGTACCTGGCGGACTGTGCGAAGGAAACGGTTCCAATGAAAGCGACTCCCCTGCGAAATCTTTCGACGTTTTCTCGATCCTGTTAGGCATGCGAGTCACCGTGAACCCCGGTTGCGAAAGGGAAGCCCGCCGTATGCGCCATGTGGCATCCATCTCTTCCCAATTTATACCTCGCTCCCTACAGACTTGCGATTTTCTCTCGAACGCAACAAATGCAGCCTTTTCGCGCCTCCTTCGAGGCCATATCGCGCGTATAGATGACGCGCCGTTTCCCGGAAAGTCCTCGGAACATGCGGACCTCCCGCTGAGAATTTCTCTCGAAGGCGCCGAATACCTCTGGCCCCTCGGTGCTCGATCGCGTGTGTGGCTACTTAGGCGGCGACAGCGGCCCATCGAAAGCCCCGCTCTTTGTCGCGCTCTGTTGGAGCGCGCACAAACGCGCCTATTTGTTTTGCCGTGTCTACTGGCTCTCGCCTGGGCACTCGGCCGCCCACCGTTCAGGAGGGATCGCACGGCGTTTGTCCGGTCGAACCCCCGCTTTTCAAAGCCGGGCTCGGAGAGGCTCATTTGCGGGCCACGGGCGCGCAGCAAGCGGCGACCGTGTTGACAAGTTTGTTTTAGCCGGCATCGGTGATTGGCCGCGGCAAGTGGATAGCCGGTCTCTCTTCGGGAGCTGCGTCGCGCACGTGCGGCGCAGACGACAAGCGGGAATCGTGGCGGAACGACAATGTCCCGTTGATCAAGTTTTTTTTTCTTTTTTTCAAACGGGGATTTTTATCCACAAAACAACGTTTCTCTTGTTCGTTCTTTTTCTTCTTTTTTTTTTTTTTATTTACACCCTTTTTTCGCCGGCATATTGATGTCAGCTCTATTCAGATTCCCCCGGTATCCTCCGAATTGAAGAGGGAGGTTCACGCATGTGTGGATACGGCCTTGATATATCCATTTCAACAGATTTTTCTTCTTTTTCTTTTTATCTGCTTCAATCATCGGGATTTCGCACGGTCAGACTTTCGCTGCGTTTGGCCCGGGGCCGATCTCAGTGCTCCGAACTTGCCAGAAACCAGGCCTATTTCATCGGCCACGGAGAGTTGCCCTCGCACGGCCTTCCCCCCGGTTGTGTCCCCGGTGTTCTGAGGCAGAGCCCGCGTGCCCGAGCGCGCGCGGCGCGCGCGTACTTCGCGGAAAACAGGCCTTGGGGCTCTCGCGCTTTTGTGGCGTGGGCGGCGAGCTCGGCCGCCCCGTCGTCCCATTCCTACGCGCCCTCGCACGCTCGGGGCCCCTTGTTACGGCGCCGCGGTTCCCGCACGAATGCAGGACACTGTGGGAATCGGCGCCACTCAATCAAACGCTGAATTCAACTGACCAGAGAGCCGGTCAGTTGGACCCAGCGTTCTCACGTTGCGTGCGTTTGCCGGACGGATGCCTCTACTTTTCTTTCTTCTTTTTTTAATAATGTTTTTTTTTTCTCTGGTACCTTTCTTCTGCTGCGATGCCGTGTCATAAGAGCGTCGCAAAAAACAAGTCATGTGAAAGCTGACCAAAACGAACGCGATCGGTCAGGGGCAGGGCACACATACTACACTATCCCAGGGTCCAGGATGGGCACTTCCCCGCAATGCACTCGGAACACCAATCGCTGTCATGCCTTTAATATTAGTCTACGAGAAGCTCGAGCATTCTCGTGCCCCATTAGTCAGGCAGTGTGTGACTATAGAAAGCATCCACCTCTTTTGTCACTCAGTCCACGTGGCAACTGGAACACTGACGACATACCGACGGCCCAGCCATCAACCTATTCAGGAAGCCCGATTCCTATAACAGTGCTTTAGCGCAGTGGGAAAAGCATCAACCCATCAGTCGGCTTTCCAGGACAAGGGCAAATGAAAGAGAGAGAGAAAACTGGTCAACATTAAGAGCATATCAGAGACGGTATTTGATTACGCGTTTTTTTTTTTTTTTTGTTATAAATGAACTTTTTTTTTTTCTGGGGCTAATGCGGCGTTACCAAACGGTGACGGTTGAAGTTTTGGGCGCGCCTCGGACCTTCCCTGGACGCGCTTTTCAGTCGGACTGGTGAAGCGCGAAATCACGAGTCAAGGCGCCGATAGTGCCGGTTCTCCCCGGGCTAATCCGCACCACGGGAAATCTCCCGTCTGTCGAGCATTCACGGGCGGGGAAATATTTATACGCGCCATAAAATAAACCTCCCCCTCTCCACTCCAGAGCGAGCTCTCCGGGCGGCTTAAGCGCCACCGGGGATTATCCGCCGTATAATGGACGCTAATACGATAATCCGGCCTTTGTTGGGCCCCGTATAAAACATATGCGGAGAAAGCGGCCAGCATTTCCTGCTCACTTTCCACCCTCACTCTTTTTTTTTTTAGTTTGGAGCCAGGTGCGTGGAAGCCGTGACTCGAATCTGGCCTGTACACAGCAGTCATCGACTGCGCGTGTTTGCGTTTGGGAACGGGGACACCGCTGTGTACACGGGCGGTGGTGCGCGTCTTGGATCGATGAGGTGAACTGTTTGTCGGGCACTTGGCCGCGCGCCGAGCTCGGGCGCCGTCGAGGACTTCGGCGGTCTCACTCCTCGTTCGCTGTTCGAGCTTGTACCTGACGGCAGCCGCCCATCGGTCAGCGCACACGAGGGAGTTTTTAGCGGATCGTTCCAACGACTCCGATAACGCAGCATGTTTTCGCAGCATGCGAAAACATGCTGCGACTTTTAGCGATCCTCCAGGATGCGCACTCGCGCCGCGAATCGTCATCGTGCCATCCAGTTCCGCAGATGTTTCGGGAAGCAGGAATCTGCTCGCCCGAAGCGACCTTTCTCTATACTTCCACCGAACCCATCAATTTGGGCGCACACAATGCGCGGGAGATGTATGGATCGGGATATTGAATTTGGCTCTGACCGCACGTAGGGATTTCAGTTTAGAACGGAGGGGGAGGGTGGGCCCGGAGCAGGGGAAGAAAAGCCCCACGGGAGGAAACCTCTTAACCTACATCGCGAAGCTCTCGTTCCCCTAAACGGAAAACGCTCGAAACTCGCGCAGGCTGCATTAAAAACACCGGCATTGTTCGACGTTTGCTCCGTTCGGTGTCGTAATGGCATATTCCTCTTCTCCCTGTAATCGATCGGGAAGGCACGTGCCACTTCCGCGGCTACCCGCGCGGAAATGATACGAGTTTGGTACGAATATGTGTGGAGGATGAGAGTTCCTTTTGAGCCGATACAGCAGCCATGGATGACGGGTGAACGCAACCGTTTTATGCAGGATCGTTCGGAGCGCTTTCGTTTGAGGCTCTCTCTATATCAGCTTCCCTCCTTTACGTGTTTCAGACAGCGCGTGCCTCCTTCGTGCTCATTGGATGTAGACATAAAAAAGAGATACGGAGACGAGATTACATTTTTTTGTGAGTAGTCTATTATCGATGCCATCACAATGGACCAACAGGAACAGACTTTAACCTGAGAAAGTCACATTCACAACCAGGTCCGGTGTCGACGGGTAGTGAAAACAGAACGCATGTCAGTTAGTCGAAATTTAAAAAAAAAAGAAAGAAGAAAGGATTCGCGCGTCTCCGTTTTGTCGGAGTGAATCTGCTCTCCTTCCGTGCGCGTGTTTGTTATCCTCCTCTTCGCCTTTTGAATAGTTGGAAAGAGGGTGTTTAAGCATACTCTCGAAACGCACCTAGCAGAGTATACTTCCATGCAATGGCGAGCTTTGTCCCTACAGCTAACCTAACGGATCGCTCGACTAGCCTTCCGTGCCGGTCTTCCGCTGCGGGGGAGGGGCGAACCGACGTCCGCGCACAAAGCAAACGCCCGCAGCGCTAATCCGCGACGTCTTGGGGCGATCCATCTGGTTTCCCGCGCTATACGCCGAACGTGTCGAAGGGTTGAGCCGACTGGATTACGGGGCCAAGACAGAAGCAGATGCGACGGGCGGGGGAGAGCGTCGCATCCCCGGTAGCCTTGTTAATCTCTGCCAACCGAACGGACGCGCAGGCTGCGGATTATGGCACATCCGTAGCGCTGCGATCGCGCCGAGCTGCAGCAGAAGGGTTGCGCGTGCGGAGAAGGGAGTCGGCGTTTGTGAACGGCGAAGGGCTTGTTTGCATATGCATGCAGGTCGCAGCGGCACGAGTGTGTGAGCGCATCGGTGGATAACGTGTCTGTTATCCACCGCTCATCTCTCGGTGACCCTGCTCCTGGAGCCCGGACTCTCTCTTCGTTTTTCGGAGCATTCATATTCGGGGGGGGGGGGGGGGGGGGGGGGGGGGGGTAGCGTTGATTTTTTTTTTTTTTTTGAGGCGGGTACAATGAGGGCGGTGAATAACCCGAATGAATGTTTACAGGCGAAATTGGTGGGCACGGAACGCGAGCAGTTTCTTAAACGTTTCAAAATGTAACATGCGCCTATTGCAAAAGATGCTAGTAGAAATCTTCTAAACGCCGAAATGCTCTTCATAAAGTGTCATTTACAAACATCATCGTTCACAAAATTACTGCTATCGGACTTTTTTTTTTAT